GGGGAGCGCAGCGGGTGGGTGGGGGGAGCTGAGTGAAGTGAGAGGGGCATGGGGTGGGGATGGGGGTGAGGCAGCCAGCAAGCGCATGAAAAGGGAAACGGAGGCACTGGTTACGCCACTGCCTCGCAGGGCAACCTTGGGCCAGTCACTTCTCTATGCCTCATGTTCCTCCTTTGTGCAACGTTAGTGAGTCAGCGCTGCGGTGGGCGTGGGGCTGGCCAGATGGAAGGCGTGTATAGGGAAGGGTTTGAAATGCCAGGCTCAGAAGGGGCATTTCTCCCTCTGCCCCCATCTAGTGCAGCTGATGCCAGCAAACCCATGAGCCGCCCGCCCAGGGGGTGGCCCAGCTGGCCCAGCCGTGCAGAGACCCTGGCCTGTTGCAAGCATCCTGCTGCGTAGCCGCATCTCTGGCTCAAAGGCAGCCTTGAGTCCCACGGACCTGGGACCCCTTCTAGGGACGTGGGGAAGAAGCAGAGCCAGATTCTCCCACAGCCCGGCGAGAGCCCAGGGGGGTGCCGATCGCTGCAGCTCACGTTTGCCAATAGGGTTATCCGTGCAGGGCCCTCTGTAGAGCCCTAGAGCCTCCCCCCTCCCCCATTCCAGGGCATTGCTCTTGGCTCAGCCTTGAGTCCCACGGACCTGGGACCCCTTCTAGGGACGTGGGGAAGAAGCAGAGCCAGATTCTCCCACAGCCCGGCGAGAGCCCAGGGGGGTGCCGATCGCTGCAGCTCACGTTTGCCAATAGGGTTATCCGTGCAGGGCCCTCTGTAGAGCCCTAGAGCCTCCCCCCTCCCCCATTCCAGGGCATTGCTCTTGGCTCACCAGCTGAGCTCACCAGAATAGGCCTGCCCAGCACACTTGCGACATGCACACGCGTGTGTGTACACACACATTTGCACACCTCACCCCCTGGGAATATATCCAGGGACTCGCATGTGCAAACGCTTGCACCAATGCACTTGCCTGGGCCCCAGATGCGCAGGCAAACTCACAGGCATGTGCACACATGGGAGCAGGTGCCGCCTTTGTCTCACCCACAGGAAGCCTTTTATCTGCAGGATTCAATAGCAGCCCTGGCAGGGGAGGGAGAGCACAGGGCCAGATCCACGCCGGGTGCCCATCCAGGGGTGAATCCCATGGTCTGATCCACGGCCCCTCTCCCGTGGCCTCATCTCCACCCGGTGTCTGTCTCCAGCTCCTTCCGCTGGCAGGGCGGCCGCCCCGTGGCGAAGGGGCCGGTCTGTGCCCTGCAGCCGGAGGGCGCTGAGGTGCTCTGCTCGTAGCCAGTGACCAGCCAGGCTGCAGGGAGAGTTGGCGGGGCTAGATGATAGCGCTGGGAGACAGGCCTGTCCGGGGATGACCTGCGGGCAAGTGAGGTGCCAGGGGAGTGGGGGTGCTCTCGCTGGATTGGCAGCGCAGGGGGAATGGGGCTGCCAGGAGCAATGTTCCCGCTCTCCCTGCCCCCATCTGTGCGTGGAATAAATTTTGTGCTATGCACGGAGGCATGTGCAGATGCGCACCACCCACCAGGGCAGAGGCGGGGAATTTTGGGGGTTGGGGGGCACTGACCCAGCGAGAAATCAGTCAGGGGCCGCCCACGAGCGAGAGGCAACAAACCAAAACAAAACAAAACAACAACCAACCCGAAACGCCCTCCCCCTCACTGACACGTGGCCCTGACTAAGAAGGAGAAAGACATTTCCCTCGCACACCAGGGCCTACGGGGCCCAGCCCTGTAGCTTCTGTGTGCTCCACCCCGCGGTGGGGGGTCCGGAGCGCCGGGGGGAGGCCTCAGCCTCGAGGGCTGGCTCCATGCAAGCCAGGGGCCGCATGTGGCCCCTGGGCCAGACGTCCCCCACTCTGCACTAGGGCATAGGGCCCAGAGTGTCCTTTAGTGAGTGACCCGGCCCCTTCCCCCAGCACTGGGGGGCTTTTAGGGCGTCTCCCCCCCCTCGTGTCCACGGAGCAAGCCCAGTGTGACTCTAGGGGAGTTGGGTCAGTTTGGATCCCACAGGTGCCGGGGGGCGGGAGGGGGGTGTCTGGAAGGTCTGAGTCAGAGGCCGGCCCCGGACGCAGCCACGTTCTGCCCCCGCAGAGCCCGCGGAC